TATTTTCACAGTGACCTGTTTAACACTCACAGGGGCCCTGTAATGACGTTGGGGGTCATAAGATAACTGGATTAGGGTTATCTTAGATCTGTCTGTCTTCGGGTGGCCCATACTGCAGATGGAGAGTCTAGCACAACAGGCACCAGTGACCGTGGACCCTGCTGTACCATCACTGGATGTACAAGGGCTCAGTCCCCTTGAGCCTGGGGGATTGGAAGATCTTTTCTTTCCCATGGAGAAGGAAGAGGAGAGAGAGGTGAGTGTCTCCAGATCTTCAGTAGCCCTGGGATGCGGAAGGTGAGTAGCAGTTCTGGGTTATGCCTCACTCAAATCCTAGACTGAGGTTTTATCCATCCCACCAGGATAGTGGTTCTTCATGGAAATGGCTTGAGCCCAGCTATTGTTTTCACCTGGTCCCCTCTCTTCATGGTAAGTCAGCCCTGGAGGAAAGAGAGTTTACCAAGTGAACTGAAGCTCTGTTAAATCTGAGCACTTAGACACTCATTCAGCCTTGTCCCACCTATACCCTAGCCAGGCCAGAAAGAAAGCTGGAGTCAGCTCTTCTCAGAACTGTGTAAGACCTGAATGGAATAAGACTAAAATACCTTCTTCCCTGCCTCCCCCGCCCCTTTCCCTAACCCCAGGACGCGCATGCTTGGCGGCTGCTCGCAGCCGCGCGCACTCGGGGCCGCGCTCAGCACCACGGACAGCGGCGACTGGGGGAGGGGCGGGCGGCGTAGCCGGGCCCCTCCCCGCGCCCTGGGCGGGTCCCCCGCCGCCCGTCCTAGCGCCTCCGCCACCTCCCCGGGTTCGACGCTCTGTGCTCTTCTGGTGCTTTCGCCTCAGGTACTGCTGAGGAAGCAGAGCGGGACCCCGAGCTGGCAGCTCCGGGAGAAGATGCAGAGCCGCAGGCTGGGCCGTCTGCAGGCGGCTCTCCAAGCCCTGCCGCCCCGGGGCCACCCGCCGGCCCGCTGCCTCGCATGGACCTGCCACCCGCCGGGCAACCCCTACGCCATCCGACCCGGGCCCGGCCACGGCCACGTCGCCAGCACCACCACCGCCCGCCGCCGGGGGGCCCCCAGGTAAGTGATTCCCTTCCCCCTCGCCCCGCTTGAGGGTCATGGGTAGTCCATTCGCTCCTCACTTGCTGTAGAAGACAGGGAGATGGGTAGAGGCCCAAGGCCACCCGATTGCGCCCTATCATCTTCCTGGCCACCCTCAACCTCAGGCTGTGCCAATAATGGGCAGCTCCTAGATGGTGGACTCCCGTCTTGGAGTGGTCTGCTGTATGCGTGGACGTGTGAAAGCGGGTGTCCGCCTTGCCCACCCTCTCCTGGGGTTACTGAAAAATACTGGGCAGCTGGGCCGCGCGGGACACCCTGCGTCTGTTGTGCACCAGCGGGTGGATGTGTGTGTGTGGGCTGGGTACTGGCAGGGGCAGTGGGCACTGGCAGAAGGAGAGGAGGAGCTGGCCGGAGCCCCCCCCCCCCGGGTCTGACGCAGCAGCAGTGCCACTGAGCCTGGATGAATAGGCCGGGTGGGGTGGGGTGGCGGTGGAGGGTTAGGGTACTGCGGGGGTCTGTTAGAAGTAAAAGGGCAGCATATTGGAATGTGTGACCCGTAGGTGTTTGCTTAGTGATAGCCAGGTGGTTCAGAGTATAGAATCTTCTATGAAACAAGAACGGGTGTGGACTGAGCAGGTGTACAGTGGCAACAGTGAGGGCAACAGAGAGGAATGAAACCTAGCGCTGTACAAACAGCACCCCTGCTCTGGGATATACTCAGGCCAGGTCACTGGGAAGAAATGGGGGTTGGAGAGCCACAGTTCTCAGTCCTGACTCCTAACCTCCCAATGTCTCCCAGGTGTCCCCAGCCCTGCTTCAAGAAGGGAATGGGCTCACTGCTCGTGTGGATGAGGGTGTGGAGGAATTCTTCTCCAAAAGGCTGATCCAGCAGGATCGCCTGTGAGTGAGGGTCAGTTGCTGGGGGCGGAAGAGGGAGGGACACCCTTGACTTTCTTTACTCACAGATGGTTGTTCCTACAGCTGGGCCCCAGAGGAGGATCCAGCCACTGAGGGCGGTGCCACTCCTGTCCCCCGTACACTTCGAAAGAAGCTGGGTACCCTCTTTGCCTTTAAGAAACCTCGTTCAACAAGGGGTCCAAGATCTGAGCTAGAGACCAGCCCTGGAGCAACAGCTCGTGCCAGAAAAACCACACTTGGGGACCTGCTTCGACCACCAGCCCGTCCAAGCCGTGGTGAGGAGCCTGGAGGGGCAGAAGGGGGCACCAGCAGCCCTGACTCTGCCCGAAGAAATCGGCCTCGTTATACCCGAGAAAGCAAGGCCTACTCTATGATACTGCTACCGGCTGAGGAGGAGGAAGCAACAGTGGGGGCCAGACCTGACAAGGTAAGAACTGGCATCTGGGGCTGTGGGCTCTCCAGGAAGAGAAAGCAGTGGGCTTTCTCGCCACTTGGGCATCTCTGTCCCCAGAGGCGGCCTCTGGAACGGGGAGACACAGAACTGGCTCCATCTTTTGAGCAGCGGGTCCAAGTGATGCTGCAGAGGATTGGCGTAAGCCGGGGCAGTGGGGGTGCCGAAAGCAAGAGGAAGCAAGTGAGTTGGGGCATGTGTGAACTGGGGGCAGGTGGCATGTGGCAATCTGTGGATGACATATGTGACCAAGAAGGGGGAAACACGAGGCACAAGTAGATCTAATTGTCAGCTACACTCTTACCCCTAGAAATAGTCATTGAACTTTCTTCCTTCTTGTTTCTGACCTGGTACCTCCTGGTGTAGGGAACTTTCTCCAAAGATTCTTAACAGAAATTTGACCTTGTTACCTATACCTGAAAACAGTCCTCCAGGACTTCCTCTTTATCCAGATTCCTAACCCTGCAGCAAGATCTTATGGACTCTCAGTCCTGGCCACGTTAAACTCCCCTGCTGTCCTTTGGAGCATCTGAGCCTCACATGGCCAGTGGCTTATATACTGTCTTATGTCTAGTTGTGTCCTGGGTTATTCAGGTTCCTTTTCAGCTGTCCCTGCAGCTCCTTGTGAGCCTTCCCTGGCTCCATTTCATGGTCACCCTGATGATGTCATTCCAATCATGGTCTTTATCAAGAACCTCACCCCTATGTACCAACCACTTAACTTTTCCAGGAAAAACACCATATGCAATGAGATCTGGCCTGAATTTAGAGACATTAAAGTATGGGAAGAATCATAAAACTAAGAAATGACATTATCTGCTGAGTATAGTGGTAATCTCAGCCTTCAGGAAGCTGGGGCAGGAGGACTGAAGGAAGACTAGCATGAGCTATACAATGAGGCTATCTCAAAAACAAAACCTACTTGTTATAACTAACATGCATATTTTTTTATGTGTTAACTCTGTCATCTCAGATTGTAAGGTCAGAGGGCAGGGGAATACATTTGCCATGTTAGGGCCATCCTATGTATACATTCTGTAGCTAGGTTTTAAGAACACAAAGGAACAGAGACAAGGCCAGAATAAGGGCAACAGGAAGTCTGACTGATTTGTTTCCTACAGAGCAAAGATGGTGAAATCAAGAAGGCAGGCTCAGATGGTAAGTAGGACCCCGGAACAAAGAAATATATTTAGGTGGAAGAGTTGGCCTTAGAGATAGTCCCTAAGGTGCTTGCTCTCCTGGGGGAGGGGACAGGATGTTTTTCCTCCCTGAAGGTGAACCATTGAGGTCTGGCACCTAAGCTTCTAGTCCTACTTTGCAGGTGACATTATGGACAGTTCCACAGAGACCCCTCCCATCTCAATCAAGTCCCGTACTCATTCTGTGTCTGCTGGTGAGTGAGGGCCACTGTGTATGAAGAGGGAGGTATAAGGATTGTGAGGCTAGGGATCAGACCATTACTCAGAACCATCTCCAAGGCCAGGTTCAGCAGTTAGCTGACATTTGTTTCTCTACCCAGATCCCTCATGTAGACCTGGGCCAGGGACCCAGGGGTCCGAGTCTGCCACCTGGAAGACACTGGGGCAGCAGCTGAATGCAGAGCTCAGAGGCCGTGGTTGGGGCCAACAGGATGGTCCAGGGCCCCCTTCCCCATGTCCCAGCCCAAGTCCCCGAAGAACCAGCCCCTCCCCAGACATCCTGAATCTCCCAGAGGATCCTTGCTTGGGCCCTCGGAGTGAAGGTAGGTAGGCACCCCAGTCCTAGGCTGGGACTGGCAGAATACCTCCTGGGAAGTTAACTCATCTGGGAACACTAAAAGCGGGAGGTAAAGACCGGGTGTGGGCAGCTACTGGGAACATACCCTGATATCTTGGCCTCCTCTAGATGGCCAGCTGAGGCCGAGGCCTCTCTCAGCAGGGCGGCGAGCAGTGTCTGTGCATGAGGACCAGCTCCAGACCCCTGCTGGTGAGGGAGATACCTCTGTCTGTGTTTGAGCGCAGGAGATGGGGGAGGGTGGGCTCCTGGACTTCAGTCTTGGTTCTGGTACTTGGACAGAACCACCAGTGCTGAGTGCTGGAGCAGTTAGGAAGCCCAAAGGCCCAGTGTAGTTCAAGAGTGACCATCCCATCCTACTAGACCAGCCTCTACTCCTGAAGACTGACCTCTGCTAGGGTGGGAGGACACTAGTTGGAGAATCTATGGGAGTAGACTATGCATGTTTTTGCGTGCACTGAAGACGGAGAAGGGTTGGGAACAGCCAGGCAGTGAGTTTTTCTGTATCCTTTTTAGAACGGCCCCTTCGGCTGCAGCGCTCTCCTGTCCTCAAGCGCAGGCCGAAGCTCGAGGCACCCCCATCCCCAAGCTTAGGTAAGAGTGGGCAAGAGCCAACTGGGAGGATGGCATGACGGCTCAGCACAAGCCTAGAACTTTCTGTCTCTCCTCACAGGCTCTGGCCTTGGAACCAAGCCTCTTTTTCCATACCCAACAGAATCCTCCAGCCCTGAGCGGAGCCCTCCCTCCCCAGCCACAGACCAAAGAGGCGGCGGCCCCAATCCCTGATCCTGTCCTTTCCTGCCGCATGAAATTATTTTATTAAAAAACTTGAATGAAACAGGGTGTGGAATACTGTTTGTCCATAGACCTGTGTGTACACATCCTTTGATATGTCCAGGTGACTCCTCATGCCTGCATTAACTCAGACTCTGACTCCATCACCAAACTCAAGGCCCAAGCTAGAAGCTGAGGAGGAACCCTGGAAAGAAACCATGGCCTTAGGTCACAGTTATCTAAGACTGGTGACCAACAGAGGTGGGACAGCCCCAAGCACTCACCTGGCACTTTGTACCTGGGCATGGAGGGAGGCTGAGGGCATCTCATATTTATACTGGAAAGCAGAAGCATCATGATGCCTCTTTGGGGGTTCCTGAAAGGGGTGCAGTATCTAGACAGAGTCCAGTAAGGACCCCTAATGCACACCCAGCCTACCCTTAGCCCTCTCCGAGCCCCAAGGCACTCCCACATCTTCCCTGCCAGCCACAGTGCTCACCCAGACAGAGCATGGTTCTTGGACTCCCTTGGCTCTGGTTCTTGGGAAAAGCTGCCGTTTCTTGATAGGCCACTGGAGCTCCCTCATCTCCAGGCTATGGGCCTGGTATGGACTGGAGGCATGGCTTAGGGGCAAGAAACTGGGGGTACAGGTCAAGAGTGGGGAGCTGGGTATAGAACTATGAGGTGGGGAACTGGGAGCCTGAGGCCTTAGGGAGGATGAACAAACAGCTGGTGCAGGCTGGATGCTGTCCTTCTGTCCAGGGTCTGATGTAGCCAAGGATGACAGAAGGCTAACACTGGCATCACTTTCTTCCAATGGTATGTTCCTGAGTGAAGCAGGGTTTCCTGGGGAGAGAAGACTGACTGTGAGGACAGGACAGACCTTTCAGCTCAGGACAGCTCAGGGCCTATTATACAACATTTCACAGCATTCCACACAACCCAGTAATTTGACTGATAGTATTGGCCTGAACCTATAGAACTGGCTGAAGAACAAAGATGGGTGGCTGGAATTCATCAATGCTATGGTGGGCCTTGGGCTCCAAAGACTCGCCCCCTTCCAACCTCTCCAGTTCTCCTTACCTGGTGCATTCTGATTTGACCCAATAGAACTGAGAATCTGTTCGTCATTCTCAGAGATGTGCAGCAATAAACTAGAGACAGTGAACACGGCTTCTTCCTGTGGGACATGAAACCTCAGCATGGCAGTTGCCTAACCCTCACCATGAAACCTCCCAAGAAAAGCCCCACACTGACCTTGGCCTGTAAACAAGAGGCTGTCCAGTGGGTGAGGGGGGTGGCTGTGTAAGGGCCTGAAAGTGTCAGGCAGCTCTCGGCTAGATGCACTAGGGCCCCCCGATGACCCTGGTCCTCTTTCACCTCATCCAGAAGCTGAGACAGTGTTAGGCCTGGGGCCAGAGATTTGGCCAAAGGGTTGAAGTTGAAACAGGATAGGTTACTTACTGAGAGGCACAAGATAGCACTAGTATCTCCACAGGGAGTTAGGCAGGATTACCCAGAGACCCTACCAGCACCTGCACTGGCAGAAGCAGACTCTGAAAGGTGGTCCCTAGAGAAACAGAGTGAACACTTCTCAGGAACAACCTGGTTCCAGTCTACCCAGCTCTGCCACCCCTGAGCACAACACACTCAGCCTCAGAGCCCAACCCCAGACTCACTCAAGGCATTCACATAACTTTCTCTGCACATCCGAATCCTGATTGCTGGAAAAAAAGGAGAGTGGTATGTAGTCAGTGACTGACGCCCAAGCCTTCTCACCCAAAGACCTATGCCAGGGAGAGTGAAAAGGCAGAAGGTGGAAGCTTCATTTACTGTTGTGTTTTGGGGGCAGAAATATGGGGAGACTTGGACTGAAGCCCTCAGGACCTCATGAATGCTAAGCCTATGCTCTGCCACTGTGCTACATCCCCTTCCCTTGGAGGGAACACTTACCAACCAGTCACCTGTACCCGAGGCTGCTCCGATGGCAGCAGGTTAAAGCGGTCCACCTGGAGGTAGAACTCCGCAGGCTGGAGGAGTTGGGGAGCGTTGTCTCAGGAGTAGTCACAAAGAGCCAGGCACAGTAATCAATGCCCCCCCACCCCAAAGTGAGCCTTACCACTCACCGAACGGTCCTGAGCAACCTGAATGCAGACCCCGCAGCCCTGCAGTAGCAGGAGGCGGCCCTCTGTCCCACGGAATCCGAATTCCTTCTCTTCCCTGCGACAATCACAGCTATCACTGCCCAGAACCCAGGCATATACCCGAACGCTAGGGGTATGACCTTCCCACCTCTAAAGCTCCCGCCCACCTCGGGTTCAACCTCGCTCTCCCACTTTACATATAGACAAGGAATGCCTCTCTTACCACTCGGAGGTGTCGATGGCATTGCGCGTCACCAGGCATCGGACACTGTGGGTTCCGTCTGACACAAGCAACATGGCCCCGGTGTCATGTGTGTCAGGCGCAGAAGACGGGCCCGGAGTCTCCGAGTCCTGGATTACCTAACAGTAGTGGCTAGTGTCAACTCACTTCCTCAGCCTCCACTCAGGTCTCTGGGACCTCAGTGGTCTGCTCACCTTTAGGAGCTGCCCGACTCGTGGGCTTGATAGTGTCTCTGAACCCAGGATCAGCTCTCGAATCCAGGGCCGCAGTTCTAGCCTCCCCGAGCCCAACATTACAGAGGCCGCTCCCTAGGAGACTCCCAAGCAGGAGATTCCCGCGGGCGCGCCGCTCAGTCTTCCGTCGGAGAGGAAGCACGTGACCGCTAGGTGGAGCCTAAGTTTGAGGCTCCGCCTATTCACGCTTCTGCGCCTGCGCAAGCACTTCTGGGCTGGCTAGCGTGGCAACTGGCTGCTAGTTCTTACCGAGTACTTGCTGAGTCTGTGACCTCAGTACTACCTAGTACCGAAAAGGAAAGAGCAAGGGCTGGTCTGGATAGGAACGATCCAGTTTAGGATAATGCAGCCGAGAATGGGGCTCGAAGTCCCTTCTGCGCTGTGTGACACCAAGAGGTCTCCCAACATGTTGACTTAGTCTACTCCGCAAAAATGTTATTTCCTCATTCTGCTCCCGGATTGGTCGAGTCCTCATAGGAACACTCGAACCATAGCGTGATGACGTAAAAGCAGAGGAAGCCCTCGCTACCTCCGTCTCCGTTTCCAAGGAAACGTAGACTCCGCGGTTTCTCTGTGTCGCGTCCCCCTTGACGTAATGATTCGGGTAGGAGGGAGGGGCCAGTGCTACTGCCAGGGGCGGGGCGGCTCGGGCCAGCGGGCCGGGCTGTGCACCTGCGCCTCGGCGGGCAGCCTTGGGGCACTGTCCCCGGCCCGCCTGGTCCCGCAATGGCCAGGCCGCAGAGGACTCCGGCGCGCAGTCCCGATAGCATCGTCGAGGTGAAGAGCAAAGTAAGGGTTTCTCCGGCCTCGGTTCTGGCCACTGCGCTAGATGCTCCCAATTTCCTTTCTCTCCCTTATTGGCTTCTTGATCACCATCCATCACTCTTTCTGTCCTCCATCCTGTCCTATTCTGCTTTCCTGCCTGCCTCCCCTCATAGCATCCTTCTTCCCATTACGAATCTCCAGAGTCCCTCTGTGGCCTGGGTATGTAGGAAAAGACCTTGGACAGTGTCCCTTGTACTGGAACTGAGGTTTAAGCTTAAGGCTGCAGCCCTTGCAGCAGCCCTTTCCCTCACTTGACAGCCTCAAACCTGTAGTGAGAAAGGGGCTTGGGCTGTCCTGATACTCCTCTCCCCTTCCCCTCCCGCCTCCAGTTTGATGCCGAGTTCCGACGTTTTGCGCTGCCCCGCGCTTCGGTGAGAGGCTTCCAGGAGTTCTCGCGGTTGCTGTGTGTGGTACACCAGATATCTGGCCTGGATGTGCTGCTTGGCTATACGGATGCTCACGGCGACTTGCTGCCCCTCACCAACGATGACAGTTTGCACCGGGCCCTGGCCAGCGGGCCCCCGCCACTGCGCCTATTGGTGCAGAAGCGGGGTGAGGATGGGGTACATTGGGCATCTTCCTTGGGGTAGAGTGACAGGGCAGGTCTACTAGGGTTAGTACATACCCAGGGTTCCCAGGCTTCACCTTCTAAAGTCTCTGCCCTTGGTCTGACCTCCAAGTGGTAGGAAACAGTTGACAATGTCCCTTTCTCTAATCCTAGTACCCCCCCCTCTTCTGCAGCAGCAGGTGACTCCAGTGGTCTGGCTTTTGCCTCCAACTCTCTGCAGAGGCGAAAGAAAGGGCTCCTGCTTCGACCAGCGGCACCTCTGCGCACCCGATCACCCTTGTTAATCAGCCTGCCCCAAGATTTCCGACAGGTGTCTTCAGTCATAGATGTGGACCTACTACCTGAGACCCATCGACGTGTGAGGCTTCACAAACATGGTTCAGATCGTCCCCTGGGCTTCTACATTCGAGATGGCATGAGTGTTCGGGTGGCTCCCCAGGGCCTGGAGCGGGTTCCAGGTATCTTCATCTCCCGCCTGGTACGTGGGGGCCTGGCTGAGAGCACAGGGCTGCTGGCAGTGAGTGATGAGATCCTCGAGGTCAATGGCATTGAAGTGGCCGGGAAGACCTTGGACCAAGTGACAGACATGATGGTTGCCAACAGCCATAACCTCATTGTCACTGTCAAGCCTGCCAACCAGCGTAACAATGTGGTTCGAGGGGCCTCTGGGCGTCTGACAGGGCCTTCCTCTGTAGGGCCTGGGCCTACTGACCCTGACAGCGACGATGACAGCAGTGACCTGGTCATTGAAAACCGCCACCCTCCATGTTCTAATGGGCTGTCTCAGGGACCCCTGTGCTGGGACCTGCAACCTGGCTGCCTACTTCCCGGTGCTGGCAGCTCTCTGCCCTCCTTGGATAGCCAAGAGCAAGCCAACTCTGACTGGGGGAATGGCATGCGAGGTGATGTTAGTGGATTCAGCCTCTAACAGCCAAAGATGCAGCCCTTGTTACTTTAGGCTGCTGGAATGTGGCATGGACTTTCCAGTTGGGGAGGGAAGATTAGCTTGTTCTCAGAGCCCTCTCAACCCAGTGAACATTAAAGGTTTTCTACAAATGTAGATATGGTTCTTCTGTGTCCCAGCCCTAACCTCTTCCTTGACCCTGTAAATCAGGCTTCTTCTGTGTACATGAGGCAGGAGGGATAATAATAAGAGCACACGAAGAGACTTCCTCTAACTATGCAGCAGGAGGCCCACTGAACTTGGCATTTCTAAGAAAGATCCTATGGAGACGGCTACTGGGTACAAAAGGTTTAATTTTGACATAGAAGTTGGAAGGCTGGATGGTCCTTCTGCAGCTACTGGTGACTAGGCAATGCTCTAGAGAAACTACCTACCCCAATGCTCCTGTCTTTGGAACTGTGGCAGGGTTTGTGTTTGCTCTTTGTAGCCATGTGTCAATCCTCACTGTGGAGCTCTCTGTTGCTCTACCCACAAAGGCAGGGCTTAGGTATCCATCTTCACAAAGACTTTGGGACGGGAAAAGATCTTGATAGCCTCTTCTATTTGCACCAACTTCTGGTCCAGTTCAGCACGGTAGCCCTGTGCTCTTAGAGAGTCTGCCCCAGCAGGTAGCAGAACTAACTCACGCAGCAGTTGGCTCTGGCCTACAAGGGGCATGGAAACAGCAAATGCTGGGTAGGGGTGCATGGGCTCCCTTTCAGCCACCCTTGCTCAAGTACTCACTCTGGAGCAGATTGTTCAGTGTCTCTAGCCGCTGATTCTCAGGCATGAGTGTGTGGCCAGGGGGCATGGCAGGGTCTGGCTGGCTATGCTGGCGAGCTTCAGCTTCCCTCCGCCACAGATCCCTGCGCTCCAACAAGCTGTAAATGCACAGGCCCAGGGTTGATGACACCAAGGCAGATAGGGTCCCTCCCACCACAAAGGTCCATAAGGACACTTGTAGGCCCATGTAACTTACTAATGGGGCACATGGCCTTTCTGTGTGGCATTGTAGTGCTCCTGAGCTTGTCGTTGTTGTTCTAGAACCTGTGCAAGGACCTGCAGTGAACGGGAATGGCGCCGGGGGGCTCTCTTGGCAGCTCGGGCATTGTGACTAATGAAATCCACATCCAGGCCTGGTCCCTGCAAGGGACATGGCAAGCATAGTAGGGACCCTGTAGCACTGTGTTGGATCTCTGTACCCCACCCCCAAGATGGCAGGCTAATAGCCTTTCTGGTCCCCTCAGATCCTCTCACCTTAGCTTTGGGACCTGGCAGGGTGAGGTGGGTGCTGGAAACACGGGGTGGTGGGAGCCCAGGGCCACAGCGGGAGTGTGCCCGCAGGAAGTGGGCAGGCTCTGTTACAGAGGCAGGGCTAGGCTCCTGGAAGGCAGGACACAGCAGAGGAATCAGGGAGGCTGAAGACAGGGTCCTAAGCCACAAAACTATTCCCCTTTCTGTCTCTCCTTCCTCTAAGTACCTTTCTATGATCATCTCTATGAGCCTCCTCCTTGAAGGAAGACGTTTCAACAACATTCAAATATGCTTGTCTCTTAAAGCTTTAAGAAAACAAACTACAGGGCTGGAGAGATGGCTCAGAGGTTAAGAGCACTGGTTACTCTTACAAAGGTCCTGAGTTCAATTCCCAGCAACCACATGGTGGCTCACAGCCATCTGTACTTGGGTCTGGTGCCCTCTTCTGGTGTTGAAGCAGACATGTAAGCAGAGCATTGTAAACACAATAAATAAGTCTTTAAAAAAAAGAAAAGAAAACAAACTACATTCATCCTCATTTGGCTACCATCCTTTCCTCCATTTCCATTCATTTTGGGTTTGCAGGACAGGGTTTCTCTGTATAGTCTTGGCTATCCTGAAACTTGCTCTGTAGACTAGGCTGGTCTTGAATTTAAAAAGATCCAACTACCTCTGCCTCCCTGCTGTGATTAAAGGTATGCACCACCATCACCCAGCTCCTTTTCTCCTTTTAACCAAGCTTTCTGGCTCTAGCACCCCAAAAGTTACTGAGGGTTGCCTCCAAGTCCTCAAAACCAAGGGCTGCTTCCTTAGACCCACTGTCCTCAATTTAATTGTCAATAACACTCTGGTCTCACTGATGAGATCCAGAGCTATGTACCCATCTGCTTCTTGGACACAGTCCTACCCCCTGGCAGTCCCACACATGCTTCAGCTTGAATACAATCTCATGTGACCTTGTCTTTTCTCTCAGTCCTCTGTGTCTTTCTGGGTCCCTGAATAGAGAAATGGTAACTACTACCAAAACCTGACCCTCCTCTCTGTCCTCAGAAATAATGTTTCAAGGAATAGTGAGTGGTACATGCCTATAGTCCCAGGAATCAGGAGGCTTTGGTAGGAGTGACAATTTGAGGCCAGTCTAGGTTATGCAGAGAATTCAAGGACAGCCTGAGGCTAAATAGCAAGCTTTGGTCTCAGAAAGGAATGAGGTGGAAGTGGTGGTGCAAACCTATCACCTCAACATCTGAGAGCTTAAAGCAGGAGGAATATTAAAAGTCCAAGGCCAGCTGGGCATTGAGGGCACACTCTAATCTCAGCATTTAGGAGGCAGAGGCAGGCAGATCTTAGTGAGTCTGAGGCCAGCTTGGTCTACAAAGTGAGTTCCAGGACAGCCAGGACTGTTAGTTACACAGAGAAACCCTGTCTCGAAAAACAACAACAAAAAAGTTCAAGGCCAGCCTGGGCCTACATGATGATTTTGAGGCTAGACCAAGCTACATACGGAGACCTTGTTTCAAAAGAAAGTAGTGGGGGTGGGGGCTGGAGAGATGCTCAGCAGTAAGAGCACTGGATGCTTTTCCAGGGGACCAGTAACCAGTAACCACCTGGCAGTTCCCAGCAGTCTAGAACAAAAGTTGCAGGAGATCTGATGCCACCTCCTGGCCTCTGTGGCACATAGTCTTGCAGGCAAAATACCCATACATATAAAAAAATTTTTAAAACTAATTTATTTAACTTTATTTTATGTGCATTGGTGGGAGGGTGCCAGATCCCCTGGAACTGTAGTCACAGACAGTTGTATGCTGATATGTGGGTGCTGGGAATTGAACCCAGGTCCTCTGCAAGAGCAGCCAGTAATCTTAACCACTGATCCATTATCTCTCCAGTCCCATAAATATTATTTTATCTCAAAAAATTAATTAAAAGAAAAACAGAGAAAGTGGTGTGGTAGTATACACCTTTAATTCCAGTACTTGGTAGGTGGAAACAGAGAGTCCAGCCAGGTGTTAGTGGTGCATGCCTTTAGTCCCAGCACTCAGGAGGCAGAGGCAGAGGAGGCCAGCCTGGTATACTGTGCTAGTTCCAGGACAGGCTCCAAAGCAATAAAAAGAAACCCTGTCACCCTGTCTCCCTGTCTCGGAAAAAAAAAAAAAAAAAAAAAAAAAAAAGGGAAAGAAAAGACTGCAGAGTTCAAAGGTCAACTTTAGCTCATGCACACAGAGTCAGCCTGGGCTACATGAAACAGAGACAGATAAACTGATAGAAAGGCTGCGGGTATAACTTAGTAAGTGGTACAGTGTATGCCTAAGGTACATGAGACCCTGGATTCAGTCTCCAACACTACAAATAAATAATGTTGACATGTAGCTTAGGCAGTTCTTTCAGATATGTGTCAAGATAGCTTTCAGTTCTAACTGTCTACAAATTGAATTAACTACTATCTCCATTGCCCTGATCCCAGAACTTCTTTCTACCTATGAGGTTTCATCTCTATGGTCTTATCTCTTCCCCTAGCCTAATTCTTACTTGTCCTGATGCCATCAGCTCCTCAGGGAAAGTCCACCCCAGATGTCTTAGCCTTTATGATCCCCCTACAACCTGAGAGTTAGATCAGGGTATAGTTGTCTGTTGGCCAATATGGACAATATGTCTGGCTCTGAGGGGCAGATACCTTCATCCTGGCCTTGACTCGAGACTCGACATTGTCATACTTGGGTGAGCGCCATAGTGCCTTCAGGGGCTTAGGCTGGCCCTGCTCCCGGCTGCGTTCTTGATCTTGGAAACGCCTCTGAATATCTCTGATCCGTTTCAGGTTTTCCTTCTCATGGTCTTTCGGATTCTTCCCTGGGTAAAAAATGGTTGCTAGGGACAACCCTACAAGTGGCCATGGGACTTAGAGTAGACCACATAGGCTCACACACTGTACCCTTTGCAGAAATTCCTCCCAAACAACCTAGTAGATGCCTAGTATACAAGAGGCCTTGGGTTCAATCTCCAACATCACACACACACACACACATACACACACTACAACCAAGACCTCTTTGTGTAAGTTAGACTACACACACAGCACTACTATCACCTTACTCTCTTCTTCCAGTGTTCCTGGTTATCGTCTGCATTTCGATAGTGAAAGTATACCATTAATTACCTTGTCCTGTCTTGTTTATTGCCTCCAACTGTGATGCCCATGCTTTTAAAATCTGTTTTCCTAACACCTATAGGGCTTGGCACAGAAGTAGGCTAAGTAAACAATGTTCCGTCAAGGTGTGAATGCTTGAAGTTAGGATTTCCTACATAAGAACTAACTCAGATCCTGCCAGGAAGCAGTGCATTTCGGCCTCTTTTTGCGCTAGGAAAACTAAGACCCACAAAAGTACATAATTACCTGGGCTCAAGGCAATTAAGAAGCACCCTGTTTTAATCTCTGCTTTTGACTTCCGAATGCCTCGATACCCCTTCTTGCAAGGACTCACTCTTAGGAGATACCCCTGAACCAAGGGAGATGCCTTCCAATTGCAGCAGTACGTCTCCCACGCCTCGCTGGCCACGCTCTAAGATCTCTCGGGCTCCAGGCCTGATGCGGGGGCCACGAGGAGGACTGGAGTCCAGGTCACGACCTGAAGTCAGCAGGTCCAGCTTCACTGGGTTTCCTTCCAGGCGCCCTTGGGCTGAAGAGCAAGACGCGATGGAAAGCCATGCTCGGTGGCGGCGCGAACTACTTGCCACGCTGTGGGACCCTGTAACTCACCCGAGGCCGGACGCCGGTAATAGTCCGGGCAGAGCGTAGGGTCTGGGGGAATGGGTCCAGAGATGCGGGATGGGCCTTCGCACATGATCCTATTGCAGCCCTGCAACCGTGCAATGAAGCCTGCTGCGCTGCGCAACTTCGGACCCCAATCCCTGTCCGGTGCTTCCATCCTCCACCCGAGCCCTGCAGCCCCGCAGTACCTCCCCCATTCCCGACACCCCCCACCGCCCCCCCCCCACCTCTCGCCCAGCCCCTAGGCTCAGCCTGAGCCACCGTCCCACGACGGGGATCCTAGACCATCACCCTGAGGGGTTCGCGACCCCTCCCCCGCAACGCCCCAGAGGGGGCTCTCACTGGAGCAGTTTTACCGCCAACTGTTGCAAGGTGGTAGGAGTTGCTGTTGCTTGGCAACAAATGGCTTCCTGAGGTCAGGGGTCAATAACTTCGGCGAAAAGCCTTCTGGGGTTTGTAGTTCCAGATGAGGAACTATTAAGTCTCAGGTCTCAGCAGGATCCTCACCTCCCAGCCGGTCTCCCCTACCAACACTGAGTCCAACCCTCTTCGGAGCCCGCCGTCTTCTCCTAGCAACCGTCAAGGGATGCACTGAACCCACACAGTCATGGCCTCAGCAGGGGCCAAGAGGCAGCCAGAAGCCCAGAATGGGGCGACAATAGGATTAGCCCAGGTTGCAGAGATCCCTGAGGTGACTCAGGCATTTTCGAAGCTCGGGAGGTGGAAGCGGTCGGGCAGGAGAGGAGGGACTCTAGGTGACCCAACCCCTAACTGCCTGGCCAAGCCCTGCAAGTAAAGGGGCCTGAGCTGGTAGCCTTCATGTCATATTTTGTGGCCAATACTGGACTTTGAATGACTGGTCCCTACAATACTTTGCCTGGCCATTGGCTACTCTGCGTATCTTCTAGTGTCCAGGACCAGGAGAAAAGTGTCTGGTGCCCGCACATGAGACCTGCAGAACCCTAGGTGAAGACAAGTATTCAGTAGGACACAGCTTCGAGCCGGAGCTTCAGGAGGAAGGAATAAACCGGGGAGAGGAAGGCATCAATCCAGGGGTGGAAACAGGAGAGGAGAGAGGACCCAAGCCTACATCATCCATCGTGAGGCCCAGTCATGGACCCAAGAGAAAACCTATCAAGTGAGGGGGTTTTCAGAGGGAAGGAGTTGCAGGGCTAAAGTGGGGAGGGTCCTTAAGCTTCCTAAATCCTGATTCCTTCGAGGTAGATATCTGTTTTCTGCTACTGCCCCTCACCTCACTCCCACCTGGAAACTTCCGTTTCTCTAGAAAAGGCGTCTAAGAGGGGGAAAAGAAAAAAACAAAAACAAAAACAAACAAACAAAAAAAAAACTTGGGGCTTTCAGGTCTATAGGAGACTGTGTTATCTTGAGTGCCAGGTCTCTTTTGGCTTGGAGCTTTACTGACCAGGAAAGGGGCAGCTAACGAGAACTGGGGTTGGTGGGCAGGGCTAGGCCCTAGGCTCAAGACACGGAGCCAAAGACTGAAGTGCACCTCTTGCAGGCCTCTTGTCCCAGGCTTGGGCACCCCAGCCCTCCCAGGCCCAGGCTACCATGCCCACCCTAGGGCTGAAGCTGAACTGCCACCAGGGATGCTGCTGCCGAAGGAGGAGCCAGAGGGCAGTCACAGCGAGTCTTCACTGTCTGCTAAACAGCACAAAAAAGCCAAGAAACGCAAGAGTGTAGGGGCCCCTGTGCCCCCGGCTGTAGCTGGCACATCCACCCCTACGGAGACCCTGGGGCTGGAGCGTGAGTGGCAATCTCTGGGGTTACCTTTTCTTTGTCTTCTGGGTCTGACATGGCACCACCTGATGCTCCAGCCTTTGCCCTGCCTCGGGTTCTTGCAGGAAAAGCCCAGCGCCTGCGGCCACTGTACCAATATATCAACTATTGCAACCCTGAGCTGAATCAGGCAGGGGACGGGGATAGAGAGTCAGAGGTGGAGCCCGAGTCGGAGTTGGCCCTGGCTCCTGAGGAGGCAGGTGTGGAGCAGCTGCAGTTGCAGGCCTGGCTGCCTGTGACAGGTGAGCTGGGCTTAGCCCTTGCTTTGCCCTGCCCTAATACATTAGTGCCACTCACTCACACTCCTCCTTCTCTAGGGCAGGAGCTTGGAGAGGAGCCTGGGGGGTTGTGTGGTCTAAGGATGAGTGGCAGCCTCAAGGCTGAGGTCGATAAGACAACCCAAGTGGATATTGACAAGATGTTGAGTGTCTGTGCCGCTCCTCTTGTACCCCCCCTCTCCCCTCAGTACAAGTGACCACACCCACTGACAGTGTCTCTCCTTTAGGCCTAAAACAGGGCTGTAAGCTCAGGCCTAGGCCATCAGGGGGAGGAAGGAATTCAGAATTTGTCTGTACTTGGGAATTCTGGCTCTCTGAAAATAAACATTTCCCCTTTTTAAAATTGTGATTCCTCAAATATGATGCCTGAATTGGGGAAAAGGCTGGGGAGAAGGGAGAATTCACTCACACAGCATTTGCCTGATGGGTTACATGGATCACTGGAACCTTGACAAATGTGTCAGAGTGTGGGGGGGTGACATAACATTTCCTGGGGAGACACGATGTCACATCTATTCACTCCAGACTGGGAGCCCAGGACAGACACCACCGAAATCCAACGTGGTGAACCAATGAGTTTTATTGGAGTTACTTAGAGAAATATGGGTGAGAGGTTACCACAGGAGCAGAAATGACTCAAAGACAGCTGCACCACCAAAAGCCCACCCCCCGCATGGGTGATAGCTCACAAATTCTGGGAACCTGGTAGCTCACTGTACACCCTGGAGGCAGCTCACTCAACAGGTTGGGGAGTGCAGGTTTCTACTTTTTCCAGGGACTTTAAAAACCTGCTGTGCAGCTCAGTTTTCCTCTATCAAACAGGGCTCAGCTTTTATTGCTGACTTTGGCAGGGAGGAGCCTAGTGAATCTGGTCAGATTCAGGGACTTCCTGAAGCTATTTGAGTTGTTTACCTTCCTGTTTAAGGAGCCTCCTCCAGGATGGAATGTTTAGATCTCAGAGGGAACTGCTACTCAACCAAGGTAGGTAGGCTTGGTGTCCAACTGTGTGTACTCTCTCCCATTTTGTCTGCCTAGGTTCAGATAGTGATAGGATGTGAGGGAGAGGAAGTTGGGACAGAGGAAAGAAGTATTAGGAACCAGCATTTGATCCTATTGCCCATCTCTTGAAGAAGGGTCTACTTTTGTCCTCACTTCAAAGATCTGGGATTTCCCTCTGAGGTGGCAAAGTTCATTTATCCCAAGACAATCAGTTTTTGAACGTTTACTAACCAGATGTGGTGGCACATACCTATGGCTGGTGAGCTGGGCTTAGGCCTTGCTTTGCCCTTGCATTTGGGAGGTAGAGGCAGGCAGATAATGAGTTAAAGGCCAGCCTTGTTTGCATAGTGAATTCAAGGCCAAGGTATACTACATAAGACCCTATTTTTTAAAAAGGGAACAGAGCCAGGTGGCTGTGGTGGAGCACACCTTTAGTCCCATCACTCAGGAGGCAGAGTTTGAGGTCAGCCTGGTATACATAGTACATAGTGAGTTCTGGGACAGCCAGGATGGTTACACAGAGAATCTCAATCTCTCTCTCTCTCTCTCTCTCTCTCTCTCTCTCTCTCTCTCTCTCTAAAAAAAAAAAAAAGCTGTGCTTGGTGGTGCACATCTTTAATCTCAGGACTCTGGAGGCAGAGGCAAGGGATCAGAGTGAGCTTGGTTTACAGAGTGAGTTCAAGGAGCCAGAGAAACCCTATCTCCAAAAGCCAAAAGAGAAAGAAGGAAAGAAAGGGGGGAGAGCTGGAGAGAGGGATGGCTCTTGGTAAAAGTATTTGCTGTTTTTGCAGAGGACCCAGGTTCAATTCCCAGCACCCACACAGCATCTTACACCTGTCTAACTCCTGTCCTAGGAGATCAGTCACCCTCTTCTGGCCTCTGCTGTACCAAGAACATACTGTGGTGTACAGATATACATGCAGGCAAAACACTCATGTGCATTAAATACTTCTAAAAAATGCTCTTTACTCACTATCATAGAGCAACCAAACTACTTTTCCCGATGGTCCCTGTGATGGGTGGTGGTGACAGTAAGTGCATGTCTTGGAGCTGTAAGGCCCCCTCACTGAATGACTGCTGCCTGTAGTCCATAGACACTCTCTGAGGAGAGCAGACAAGTGAGCGGTGTGTGGAATAAGACTGCTGGTCTTCCTGCATGTCCTTCAAACGCTTCAGATATGGGGTTTTCTACATTAAATGCCTTTCTTCCTGTATCAAGTTAAGATCCTGGTGTCACTTCTGACTCTGTCCTCTAAATTGAGAGGTCAGAATGTGGGCCTCAGACATCTCCAGGTAAAAGCCTCTGAAGTGCCCCTGCTTGTGGTCTTATAGATACATGCAGTAACCCTGCTGCACATGTGCCTGCATCCTCAGTGTTACTGTCCCTCTAGCATCTTGCCCTTCTTACCTCAGTTGCTTTGAAACTTAATGGCTGTGTGTAAGTACCCGATGAACCAGATTTTTTATTGCTTTCATTCTGCACATGAGGCTTTAAGATGTCTTTGTTCCTTCATCCTTCTACCTGGTTCATACTATACATACCACATACACAATACATATATACCACATATATATACAGTACATACATACCACACACACCACATACATATATAAACACACATACCACATACATATATGCATACATACCATACATATACACACTTGTGCCACATACAACATATACATACATGCCACACATATCACATACATATATACAGATATATGTCATACACACCACATATACACAATACATACATACCACACACAACATACATACATTATACACATATATGACACACTACATATATATATATATATACGCACACATAAACACCCTCTTTCTGCTGAGTCAGGAAGCACCAGTGTTGTCCTGAATTTGCAGCATTTTTATCGTGTGAATTGTGTATCTCCATTAAACTGTATGCACACCCCTAGATCACACATCATTGGCTCCCATCAAAGGCCTCAAGACAAGTTCAATGTAGAGGAGGCTAGAGATGACAGGTCTGAAACAGAACAGCTAAAGCCATCTAAAGCCCACAACCTCATGCAGGGGCTCTGGAATGGGCCAGCATGATCACTGAGTGGGAATGAGGTGGGCCGGTGCAGGTGAAGGTAGAATGGGCATGGTCCACTCTCCTAGCATCATTCCAGGCTCCTCCCATCCTTGTAAAGTTACCTAGATGCTTTCTGTCCCATAGCAAGGCCACTGTCAAGCCTCATCAGGTCAGGACATGGCTCCCTCCATCTGCTTACAGTAATGACTCCACCACCTCAGGTAATACTGTCTACAGGAGCCATGCAGACAGAATCTTGCACACATAGATGAGATGATCACAGATGATTAAGGATGTTTCAGAGCTAGAGATCAGAGTTTGACCTCATTTTGACCAAGGAAGTAGATTCGTGCTGAGATGTAGCTTTATAGAAAACCCTGGGGTCTTGTCCTGTTGAGAGTCCTTTTGTGGACCAAGGGACACTCTGTCAGTGGCATGACTCAAGTATCTCAAGCATTTGGTCTTTCTGTCTCCAGAGCTGCAAGTGCAGACATCTAGTACTGAGAAGAGAGTTAATGTTTGTGCTTAGAGGACAATTCCGGAGGCCTAGACCTGCAGGCTTGTCTTAGCAGGGTGCATGATGGGAGCCAAAGGAACACATCGCTGCTGTGCCCTCATGCTCATATGGGAGCACAGATGGTGGATGAGATGACTGCCACTTTACCCTGGGGACAAGTGATGCCAAGAGAGCTGTTCCTGGAGGACAGCCTTTCAGGCCTGAAATAAGCCAGGGGACAGACCTGTCCTAGTGTGGGAGATGCCAACAGGAAGGCTGTTCATTGTGGTGGAAGCAGAGGACATGGCTACTGGGGACACAGGCTGGACAAGTATGAAGGTGATGAAGCAGACGATAAGCAAACAGGAGTCTTAACCATGATAAAGGAGGTGTTACCTGTTAGAAAGAGTTAAGTTCTACTATAGCCTAAAGAAGGGAAGAGAGTTACATGTCAGGAAGGAGTTGAGCCCTACTGGAGTCTAGACTGATGATAAAACATATTGTCTCTTGAAATTTTACTTATTCTTTATGCCAAGAACCGTATCTTAGTTGCCTTATTCTTTATGCCAAGAACTCTTACCTTCCTTGAGAAATAGTTCCAAAATAGTTGTCTTGTCCTGATGCTTCTGTAAACATGCTTGGTTTTTTTGTGTTTTGTTTTTCTGAGACAGGGTTTCTCTATGTAGCCCTGGCTGTCCTCAGACTCAGAGATCTGCCTGCCTTTGCCACCCCAGTGGTGGAATTAAAGGCATGCCCCACCACCACTGGGTTTAAACATGCTGAGTTTTAAAATCTTAGAAAAATGAATTGTTGCTAGAAGTCTGTAACCATGGGAACTAAAGTGTAAAGCCCACCAATCAGGAGAAAGCCCAAAGGTGACACTGTACATACAACCAATAGGAACTGTATGAGACAATGGATCAGGGTCTGACCACTTTGAGGATTAGCTTGAGTTATTATCAGCTGATAAAGTTGAGTTCTCCATCTCTCCAAATGCAAATTGGTGGTGTCTTGGATAGGGGTCTCCTTCTCTCGAAGCCTGACATTGTGGTGAGACTGTTTATGACACAAAGAACAAAGATTGGTGAGATGGTCAGGGAGGCAGGCAGCAGATGCCACGTATGGGTGAATACAAAGCCTAGATTTTCTTGAAGGTCAATGACTTAACAAGCATTTTAGAAGTTCTCGTATGGTTGTGGTATCAAAGGGGAAAACTAACACTCGGAACAAATTTTTTAAAAGTATAATCCTGGGAGATGCTGCTGTCTTCTTCCAGGAGGGGGCGCTGCAGGACAAGCCTGGAACTAGTTTGGCATCTGGGCCATAATGCCCAACTCACCTCATTCCCACTGACTGCAAGTTCTTGTGCCAGAGAGATGAAAAGATGTCAGGGGTCTGGATCTAGGCTCTAAGAGGTGCTCTCACAGTCCTGTGCCTTCTGAAAGTAGCCCCACCTCACGCCCACTCTCCACCTGCTCCAGTACTGGAGACTTATCTCCAAACACAAAGTTCTCTAACCTAAGTACCACTCTGAGCCAGCAAATACATCTTAGGCGTGACCTTGCTTTTTTCTTCTTCTTCTTTTTCTTCTTCAAGACTGTGTAATTTTTCCAGCTGTCCTGGAACTCACTCAGTAGACCAGGCTGGCCTCGAACTAAGACATCTGGCTGCCTCTGCCTGACTGGACCTTGGCATCTTAGTAAGACACACGGACAGCTGGAGCTAAGAGGTGTTCTAAAGACAGGACTGTCGTGTGTTATCTTCCTACCTGCAGGTGGGCACTGTGCAAGGCCTTCCTGGTTCAGGCCAGGCTGAATCCTGCTGCAGAGGAGTCAATGCCTAGGTGTCTGAGAGAAGATTCCAAGTACTGGCATAAGGTAGTTTAAGGTCAGAAGCTGGCGTCCTCATGGAGTAACTGCCTCTCTATGCCTTCTAGTATAAACAATGGTTTGGATTTTATTTTGAGAAAGGTTCTTGCTATGTAGCCCAGGCTGACCTGGAATTCTCTATGTAAACCAGGCTGACCTTGAACTTGTAGCAATCTCCCTGCTTGTGCCTCCCAACTCCAGCTCTAATGGACATATTAACAGTAACTTTCAAAATGACTCAGGGCTGAAATAAAATAATCCACATAAAATGGTTTACTCTGGGGGACCAGAACACCAACCTGATTTCACCTCACAAAAGACAATGGTTAAAATCAGGACACTGTAGGGAAATGGGCATGATGGCTTCTACAAGTGATGCCAAGAGGAAGAGGAAGTCATGTTCCCCCCTGTTGCACCCCTCCCCCCCACCGCTTTTTTGGCAAGGAGCCCAAGACTTAAAGGAGGACGATTAGAGAAGGAACAGCGTCCACAGTGGCTTCTCAATCCAGCATACTGGCAGAGTCAACCTTCTTTAAAAAAAAAAAAGACCCCACCCAGCTCAGACCTGTCCTTGTCTGCAACAGCTAGTTAATAAACATGGCTGGTGACTAGTCAGCTGACTCAAGCTGTGCCAGTTAAACCTGCTCCAAAGGGTAACACAGGCCCCTTCCTCCTTAAGCTCTTCCTGAGGGCTCTACTGGCGCCACACCGTGGTTTCAAGAACAGAACACTGGGGCTGGAGATGGCTCAGTAGTTAAAACTGCTTACTGCTCTTAACAGAGGAGGCTCAGGTCCCAGCATTCACATCAGGTGGCTCACTACTTCCTGCCCCAGGAAATCTGATGCCATCTTCTGGCCTCTTTGGGCACCTGCACTCATGTGTATACACACACACACACACACACACACACACACACACACACACACACACACACACACACACACGGGGATGGGGTGGTGGTGATGATATAAGACAGAGTGTGATGCATACATATAAATAAATAAATCTTAAAAAAAAAAAGAACCCTTTCATGACTGCCAGCTTAGGGGTCCCAGGCTCTCCTATCTTCTTGAAATGGTAGGTTTGACAGCAAGCTAATAGGAAATCTTACACCCTGTCTACTAAGAATGTTTGGAGAACTTTTGGGACTCAGCCATGAGCTGAGCCATTAGCTCAGAGCTGCTGTGTAGTCCATGAGGAAAAAAAAAAGGGGGGGGGGGAACAACCAATCTAAAGCAATAAACAAGAATTCTATAGGAAAAATAACCAATCTACAGCAATAAACAAGCATTCCATTATTAAAGAAACCCAACCCCAAACAAAGGACCACACACCAGATGTCACATTTTTTTCTCACTTATTTACTGACATTTCTGAGATGTTCTACAGTTCCCTTTTGTCTCCTCTCTGGCAAATCAGGGGCCCTCCTCCCTATGTATAATACAGAAATCTTTTCTGTGGGAATGGCCTGCCTGGGACCTGAAAGGGTCTGATCACATGGGAGGGTACGTGAAGATCCCTAAGGGACAACCTGTTGCCTTCACTAGTCCTGAGCTGCCCCAGTCCAAGGTAGGCAAGGCTTCTTGCTATCTCCCCTTAGGACTCAATCAAGCTGGTTCCTTTTACTGGGCTTTCTCATCCTGTCAGATCACAAATAAGTCTGAACAACCCAGACTGATCTTTCTCTGGCCCTGCTCACTGGCAGAACCACAGGGGCCAGGCCTCAGCCCAATCCTGCATACACTGCTAGCCTTCAAGTCTGAGGAGTCAATGATGGATGGATGGGCTTTTTCCTGGGCCACTTCAATGGGCTCCAAGCTCTGGCCCAAGCTGATTTATTATCAAGACACCGTCTCTGCTATAGGCAATCAGAGCTCCCAGTCCCCTCCCTGGTCCCTCCGCCCCACGGGAGGAGGTCATATGTAGGCTCACAGGTTGTTGCGCTGAAGTGCTTCACACAGGTTCTGGTTGGCATCTGGCTCCTCTGTCAGCATTTCCACAGTCTCCCATTCCCCAGACCGGCTCGACCTTTTAATAGCATCCACCACACTCTGCATATATAGTCCGTCCTCAAATGAGGCAGCCATGGAGACAGGGGTGCGGTCCCAGGTACGGCGATCCCCCTGCCCCTGGAAGGATTGGCGCAAGGCCTGCACCATATAGACCATACCTTTCAAGTAGAGCAGTGGGACATCCTGGAGACCCTGCTCAGGGAGCCCTGCACCCACAGCCAGGGAGTCTCTCACCAGCAGCTCCTCCTGTGTAGCAGAGTTCTTCTGCCCATAGAGGTCAGCTCCCCGGGCAACAAGGCGTCCTGCTGAGCCCACAACCATGACTTCATGTACAAAGGCACCTGGCATGTTGAAGTTGAGTGTCACTGTGCTGCACACCCCCCCACCCATGAGCATCTGGAAAAAACAGAAGTCATCACTGGTGACATGACGGATGCCACGGATGGTGGCATTCTGCCTCACAAAGGTCTTGAGTAGCCCATGTACCTTCTCGGCTTTCCGGCCAGTCAAGTGGGTCAACAGGTCCACAATATAGGTACCCATGGTGTGCAGGCCCCCACCACCCATAAGCTCATCACATATCCAGCCATAGCTGGGGCTGAGCAGGCTCCCGGAGTAGATGCGGGCATCGCAGATCATCACCGCCCCGACATAGTGCTCTGCAATCAGCTGCTTCATGCGCACAAAAGCAGGCAAGAAGCGCAGCACATTCCCCACAAGGCTCATCAGCTGTGGGTAGTATCGAGACGCTGTCACCATCCGGAAGGCATCCACTGATGTTGCTGCCTTCTCACATACCACATTCTTCCCGATTCCTATGAATGAAAGACAATGGGAAATTTTCAAAGTTTCACAAGATTTGCCTTATGGGGTTGGGGGAATGAGAAATTTCTCTATGTAGCTTTGACTGTCCTGGAACTCATTCTGTAGATCAGGCTGGCCTCCAAATCAGAGATCTGCCTGCCTCTGCCTCCCAGGTGCTGGGATCAAAAAGTGCTACCACAACACAATTGTATTTCCCAAGCCTGACAAAGTGGGATATACCTGTTATCTTAACATTTGGGTGGGTGGGATGGAGACAGGCAGATACGGAGTTTGAGGCCAGCCTGGATTACATAGATTCAGTCTACACACACACACACACACACTCCCTCCTCCCTCTCCAGATGACTCGGGAATGTCTTCTGTAGTTACAGGTGATCCTGAGGGAGGAAGTTTAGAACATATTGAAGAGGTCTTAGTGACTGGAGGAGTAAGTTCTCCCATTGGAGTGGTGGTGCGTACTGGGGATGGCCAGGACCAAGTTTCTGGGGTTAGGGAACAGGGACAAAGGGCACAAAGAGAGGGGTATGTGGCAAATGCCAAGACACTAAGACAGAGAAGGGCCAAGAGTTAGAATTGCTAACAACCTGGCTGCATGCAAGGACACAGAACCTGAGAGACTATGTGGCATTTAAAGAGATACGGGAAAGTAGACAGACAATAGGTACCACTTACTCCCAAGACATTCAAGGTAAGAGCCAAAACAGGGTTCTGGACAGTCCCTTTCTCAAATTTTCCCCATCTAGGTTTCCTGAGCCAAAAATCACTGGAGGCATCTCACACATGCCACTTTTAAAAAGATTTTGTATCTGTGTGGTGTAAGGAAGTATATATGCTTACATGTATGCATGTGTCTGTGCAGTTGGTCACACAATACATGCATAAGAAGACCAGAGCCAAAGTCAGGTGTTTGCTTCTATCACCTGCCACTTTGTGTTTTGTTTTGCTTTTGCTTTTTGGATACATGGTCTTTTAATGTAGCCACAGCAGACCAGACTGGCCTTGAACTCACAGATATCCTCCTGCCTCTGTCTCCTGAGTGCTGGAATTTAAAGTATTTACCACACCAGGGCACTTTATTTTTTGAGATAGTCTCTCACTGAACCTGGACTTGGTCTCACTGGCTGGCCAGCCAGTCCCCACCTCTGGGATTTCTGGCATATGCTGCTATGCCCTCTTTATGAGGGCACTGGGGGTCTAAGCTCAGCTCCCCATAGCAAGCACTTTGCTAAATGAGCCCTAGCCCCTTATATCCCACTCCCCCTCACCCCTTTTATTGAGACAGGGTTTCTCTGGTTGTCCTAGAACTTACTTTGTAGGCCAGGCTGGCCTCGAACTAGCAGAGATTGGCCTGCCTCTGCCTCCCAAGTGCTGGTGCTAAAGTCATGCTCCACCACACCATGCCACACCCACTTTTATACATACTGTGCACTTGGTCTTCAAGCCGCATCCAGAGTCTAACCAGCTCTAACTGCCACTTTCCTCATCCAGGTTATCACTGTTTTGTTTTGCCTGGGTTATAATAACTGTCATTTATTGAAAGATGTGAGACAAGATCAGAAGTTTAAGGCCATGCTCAGCTGCATAGCTAGTTCAAGGCCTTATCTCAAAAAGCCAATCCCCCACCCACTTAAATTTCTCTCTGCCTCTTCCCTGGCAACCTTCTGTACCCTCACAGCATGGCAGCCATACTTGTGTTCAAGCCTGTTACAGTTTGATATTCTCCAAAGGCCTATGTTAAAGGTTTGATCCCTGACAGTTGGTGCTACTGGAAATGGGAGCCTTTGGAGGAAGAAAGGCCACAGGAGGCCAGGGCTCTGAACGGAATACTGGGTTCCTGGCCTTTCCCCTGTTCTTCCTCTTTGTTTCAATGCTGCCATGAAGTAAAAAGCTTTGCTCCTGAGTGGGTGGCTCACACCTGCAATCACAGCAATAGGAGGTTGAAACAGAAGGATTACAAGCTTGAGGCCAGCCAAAGCCACATAGCGAGAGCCTGTTTCAGACACACACACAGAGCAGTCTTGTTCCACCAATAAATTTTAAAAGTAAAAATTTGCCTGGTGTATACATTCAATTTCAGCATGGAAATTTAGAAAGATCCAGTCTTGAAAAGTAAAAGAGGACTAGGGATGAGCTCAGCTCTTGCCTAGCACACACGAGGCCTTAAGGTCAACCCCAGGCACTGAAAAACCACAAAATTCTATTAGTGGTCTTCATTTCTGACTAGTGACCCTTACAAAACTTTCCTTTAGCTTTCTCCCTGCCACGGTCCATCCCCACACAGCCTTACTAGCCACTGGTTGGAGGTGGTGCTGCCATGAAAAGCCTGGTGGTCAGGGAGATGCAGCAGCCATTAGCACCAAGGTAGCTGACGGGCAGAACTGGACACCATCACAGGGTCTTACTCTGTAGGTCAGCTACCTTCAAACTTATTATATCATATTCCTTATTATATTAGTACTGCTCACAAGGCCTCTCACAGAAATGGGTTCTGTGCAGCTCTGTGGGAGCTCACACACTCACAGTGGCCACAGCAGAAAGATGTTTTTGGCAACCCTGGCAGCTCCTTACTTCCTACACCTATCCCAGCTACCCTGACGCGCAAGAAGTCCACAGAACACTTATCATCAACACATAAGAGGGGCTCGGGTCTGAGCTCTCAATATGGTGAACCCTGGTGCTACACCAGGGAGAACCTGATGGCGTCATCACTGTGTCACTCCAGTCACTCCAATCTAGGAGACCCTTCAATCTTCTCTTCTCCAGATAACTAAGCTTCAACAACAGGTGCAGGCAGGATGACAGAGCAGCCAGCTCACTGTCACCTGTCAGGGCAGGGGACACAATGCCCAGGGCAGGGTGGCCAGGCTTTTGCATAGCAGCTCTGCAGAAGGGAAAGGAGGCCCAGCTGCTGTTACCACTGCTTCTGGAGGGTCTCCAATGCCCCCCCCATTTGTGATTTCTGGACGAGGGGCAGGGGAATCTTATTAGTAGAAGTAATTGCCATTTGGCTGTTAAAGACATGTGGCTGACCACTGAGGTATAATTAGGTTCTCAGACACAAAACCCCACAGAGTTGCCCTTCTTACCACCTAGATGCTGCCTATTATAGCAACACATTACTTAGCTTGTGACAGACACTACAGAGTGGGACAGTGAAGTAAGTTTGGAGAAGGGTGGGGAGAAAACCCCACTTCCAGCATGTCCAGCAGAAGAGATCTTACACACAGGACCCAGGAGTCTTAGCATGGAAATCAAAAGTATTCAGACATAATTGGGTTATGTCTGCAGGCTAGCCACGCAAACTGCAACTTTTGTTAGACTCGGGTTATCTTGAATACATGATCATGCTCAAGTTTATCCAGGTCTCCTGCCAGGAAGTCAAAATTGAATGAAAACTGCTACTTGCTTCCTGGCAGCAGGAGACAGAGTTCCTGGGTACTCCCCCCCTGCAAAACTTTGTTTGTTTTTTTAGAGACAGGTTTTATCTGTGTAACAGCCCTGGCTATATCCTGGAACTCACTTTGTAGACCAGGCTAACTTTGACTCACACCTGTTTCTGCTTCCCTAGTGCTGGGATTAAAGGTGTACACCTCCACTGTGGGTACTTTCTAGATTCTGAAGTGCTGGGGTTGAACGCAGCACCTCCAGTGTGCTAAGCACATACTCTACCACTGAGCCTTTCTGCTCCCCTCTCCCCTAGTACTTTTTAGCTTCAGGTTTTCTGGACGGTAATCATGTTTTAAGCCATAAGTCTCTCTCTAGCTACAGATCCCTTACCAAGGTCCACAGGAGCTGCCCAGGCATCCTCAGAACACTTCTTTGTTCTTTAGTAACAAACACACCACAGGAAGTGGGGTTCACAAGCTGGGCTCAGGACACCTGCACCTTCCTATCCCTACAGAGAGGCCTGGGAGTAAATGATTCATAAAGCAAGGTAGAGAGGAAGCCCAAGGAGGGCATCACGTTTATGTCCTAGGTCTAATAAAATCCAGGGAGATACACATGCACACACACCAAGATTTACTCACTGTTATTGTGTGCGTTTGCACACAATTTATACTGTATTCATATTGTGTGTATGTAGGTGCACATGCCTTGGAGAACGTTGGCTAGAGGGCAGTTTTGTGGTTCTCTCCTATCACCTTTACAGGGGTTCCAGAGATCAAATTCAGGTGGCCACACTTGCATGGAAAGCGCCTTTACTCACAAAGCTATCTCAGTGGCTCACACTTCAATATTTTTAAATTTTTTTATTTTATGTGCATTGGTGGGGGGTATTGGGTCCCCTAGAACTGGAGCTACAGACAGTTGTGAGCCACCGTGTGGGTACTAGGAATTGAATCTGGGTCCTCTGGAAGAGCAGTCAGAGCTCTTTAAACCACTGAGCCCCTCACTTTCTGGTTTTTTGAGATAGGGTTTCTTTGTGTAGCATTGTACCAGGCTGGCCTTGAACTCAGAGAGACACGTCCGCCTCTGCCTCCCGAGTGCTGGAACTAAAGACAGTGGTGGTGCCACTACCACCTGGCTCACTTTCTTTTTTTAATTAAAAAGGTTTTATGGCTCAGCAATTAAGAGCACTTGCTTCTCTTGCAGAGAATCTGGGTTCAGTTCCCAGCATCTACATGGTGGCTCACAACCATCTGTAACTCCAGTTCCAGGGGATTCAACTCCCTCTTCTGGCTGCTTCAGACACCAGGCACGTGGTGCTCATACACATATGCAGACACTCATACCCATGAAATAAAAATAATTTTTTGGTGTGTGGGGGGTTTAAGATAAGGTCTCTCTGTAGCTTTGGAGTGTGTCTTGGAACTCATTCTGTAGATCAGACTAACCTCAAATTCACTGAGATCTGCCTGCCTCTGCCTCCTGAGTGCTGGAATCAAAGGCATGCACCACCATGTCCAGCAAAATAAAATTTTTTAATAATTTATTTTTATGTTCATTGGTGTTTTACCTGCATGTATGACTTCATGAGGGTGCCAGAGGTCCTGGAATAGGAGTTACAGACAGGTGTGAGCTGCCATGTAGGTGCTGGGAATTGAATAACTAGGTCCTCTGGAGAAGCCACTAGTGCTCTCAGCCCCTGAGCCATCTCTCCAGCCCTTATTTTGTTTATTGAGACAAGGTCTCTCTATGTAGTCTTGGCTGTAATGGAACTTACTATGTAGATCAGGCTGACCACAGAGATCTGCCAGCCTGTGCCTTTTGAACACTGAGATTAAAAGTGTACCACCACACCAGGCCCAGCTACTAGAAATATGAGTTTGAAAAATAGAGCAGGCTCTCACTCTTGCCTACAGTCCATCTCTATTCTTTCCTGGCCACAGGTCCATATTAGCTCTCTGGCCACCAGCAAAATGGCCTACATGGGTGGAAACTATAATTGTCTTATTTACCTAGCATGCCAGGTCCTGGGTCAATCAGTGGGTGAACACAGTATTAGTCATCGGCTTAACGTGAAGAGTTATATTTTAAGGTTCAGATGACCATTCGGTAAAAATGTAGACTGCATAGCAGGAATCTGGTCTGGCCTGGGCTCAGGGAGGCTTCCTAAGGAAGTGGTGGTATTCTTGAGATTAAATTGTCTGGGTCAGTCTGCTTGGAGAACAATCTTTTGTTATCATAACAGTCCGTGAGAAAAGAATTAGTAAGCTTAATGAGTGTGTATACAGAAAATATATAGACATCTATGTATTTAATTTTAGTCAACTTTACATACTTTATTACTTAATAATAACAAAAACCCTTTTAAATAACACAAACACACACAGAACCAAAGTCTATATATCTCAGTGAATTTCTATATAATTATAGTGGCCATTATGAAATTGTGGAACTTCACATTATAGATGTTTGTTTGTTTGTTGAGACAGGGTTTCCCTGTATTGTTTTGGAGGCTGTCCTGGAACTTGCTCTGTAGACCACCAGGCTGGCCTCAAACTCACAGAGATCCACCTGACTCTGCCTCTGCAGGGACTAAAGGCGTGCTCCACCAACACCCGGCTTCACATCAGATTTTACACTTTCACTATGGATTATATTTTTATTCATTTGGTGACATATCCACCAAACATGAAAAATCCTTGGCAGAATTAGAAGTAGGAAACAATCCATTCTGCATTCTCTTTCATAACTCAGACTAGAGAGCTGGCTGGATTGGTAAGGTGATAAGGACCTGAGTGGATTCCCAGCACCCACGTAAAAACCAGGTACCATGGCACATATAAATAACCTTGGTGCTTAGGATGCAGGGAGTGGCCGCAGACAGACATACCCCGGGGGCTTATTGGCTGGCCACTAGCTGGGATGGTAAAGTCCTGGTTCAAGGTCTCAAAAAACGAGGTAGGTCGGGCTGGAGAGTCCCAAGTTCAATTCCCAGTACCCACATGGGCTGCTTACAACTGCCTGTAACTCCATCTGACAGGGCTACCCTGGGCACTCCCCACCCCCCTACAAATTACAAATGAAATTACCCAATATCAACCTCTAGTTTCTATATGTGGCATGAGGGACATGCATTCCTACACACTGTACACACATGGACACCACAAACACAAAATCAAAACAGAAAAAAAATACTCTAATGAGAAGGAAAAGCAACTTTGTCTACAGCTCAAGACTTAGAAAATATCCAAGTAGCATTCCTAGGCCTCAGTTACATCTTCTTTTTCTTTTGTTTGGGGTGCTAGGGATTGAACCCAAAGCCTCATGTATACAAGCTCTACCTGAGCTCCACCTCCAAGTCCCAAGTTTCCTCAGATTCAGAGGAAAACTGAGGAGTCAGTCTCTCCTTTCACTGTGTGGATTCAGGAGATCAAACTCAGGTTACCAGTAGCAAATGCCTTCAATCACCAAGCCAAGTCACTGACTCTCTTTTTCTTCTTCTCTTTCCCTCCCTCCCTCCCTCCCTCCCTTTCTTTTTTCAAAACAGGATTTATCTGTGTAACAGCCCTGGCTGTCCTAGAACTTGCTCTGTAGACCAGGCTGGCCTTGAACTCACAGAGATCCACCTGCCTCTGTCTTTTGAGTGCTGGGATTAAAGGCATGCACCAGTATGGCCCAGCTCTTTAAACACAAGTTTGTCCATGTACTTCATGCTGCCCTTGAACTCATTATGGAGCCAAGAGGATTTTGATCTTCTGGTCTTCCTGCCCTATCTCCCAAAAGCTGGGATTACAGTATATACATATCACCACACTGTGGCTCTGGAGACTGAGCCCCGGTGGAGCAAACACTCTACCAACTAAGCCACATCCTTTAATTGACAATAAAAACATTACAAAGGGTCTGTGATCCTTCTCCCACAGTGTGCATCAGAACCACCTAGGAAGCTGGCCAGCCACAGTGTGGGGCCCAGCAGGCAGCAGGCTTGAGAAATTACAGTTCTACTCATACAACTGTTTCAGGTGACATCGCTTCTTTGGTGGTACTGTGTGGGGACTCCTCCGGTGTAGGGGGAACTGGACAAGTTCTGTGAGCCTCTTCCACAGTACTGAGTCAAGGCAGACCTCTCATTAAGAAAATGAGAGCACACAATGGGTGCTGACTAGACACTAAGGGCACACACAGACCTCACTGTTCTACTTTATGCCTTTGAAAGCCAAAAGAAATGGTTCTTTTAACTGGCATGAGAAGTCTGAGAGGACATCAGTCTGGGTCACACATGCCCAACTCTGTGTCAGTGTTGTATGCCTCACTCTATACCTTTCATGTGCTTACCAAATTATAGCACAACCCAAGAAACATGCTTAGTTAAATGGAAGCTTTAAGTAAGTGTAAACACTTCTTACATGCTCTAGGTCTAAAGGAGCAGAGCTAAAGTCAGACTATTCAACAGCTACTGTCTGTCTTCTTCCAACTATAAAAAGACTGCCATTTTAAAGCTTGGAACCTTAATTAAAAACAAAAATAACACAAACAAAAAGAGCAAAAGAGATGGAGCCAACAACAGAAAGAAAAGAAGCCGGAAGCAGTGCACATATAATCCCAGCTCTCAGAAGGGTGAGACAGGAATGTGAGTTGGGGGACAGCCTGGGCTACATAGTAAAATCTTGTCTCAAGTTATACGTATGATGAAAAGAAAAAAATCTGTCTATAGTTCACAGGCAAGAGGAACTCACTTTAGGAACTGAAGATCAGTTAACCAGGCTACACCCAGCCAGGGTCAGGGGTCCCCAAGCCCAGTTTCCCAAGGGAGTGGAAACGTGAGCAAGCTCTCTGCGGTTTGTGTCAGGAAAGCCAGGGCTGACAGAGAGCCTTCCTGCTGTCTGGCAATATGAGATTGCAGCTTGCCAGGAAGGGTGGTGCTCACTACAGTCAAAGGCTGACAAAGCATGGGAAACAGTAGCCTTCTAGACAGCCTCCTCTCCTTCCTGTGGTGCTGTGTGCTACAGAATGGCAGAACAAACACATCAGTCACAACAGAGAGGCAGGGGCCAGGGAACACTGACTCCCCAGAGGCAGGCCTGACAGTCAAGAAGTGGCAGTCTCAAGCTCCTTGATGGGCTGAGCTTCTGCTCAGAGGGTTACTAGGGAATAGGAGGTAGAGAAGGTTCAACCCTTTTTCCTTTTTAGAGCTTTTAGAATCTCTAACAAACCTTCCCCAGCCCTGCCCCAGTGATATCCCAGGGTACTATTTGCAGATGCAGACAAAGAAGGAATGCCCAGGCCTAGGGGCTGGCAGTGAGCTGTGAAGGACTGCCCAGAAGAACACATACTCTGCCTGCTATGGCCTGAAGGTGCATACCTAGAGCCTTCACGGATATCTGCCGGGTGAGAGGAGGGGGGATGTTGATGCACACCAGGTCTACATCTTGATGCAGTAAGACGTCATCGGTCCGGCTGGTGTAAAAGGTGATGTTCATCTCCTCAGCCAGCTGTTTTGCTTCCTCCTCAGTCTTTCCCCACAGGGCCTCCACAGTGAACCCCTCTGCCCTCAGCAGTGGCACTAGGACCCGGGCTGAACTGCCAGTCCCAAACACGCCCACTCCTGGCAGCAACTTCATCTTGGCCTCTGTTCAACAAGTCATCTCCTTACCAGGGTCTCCAGAATGGAGTTGACCTTCCCATAGTCCTGACCAAACATGGCTCCTAAAACAATAGAAAGGAAAGGTTAGTGGTGGAGATCACACTCAGTGGAACCTACATTCTTGGGTATTTGGAAGCAACAAGTTCTCTGCCCCCAAAGCATAAATAAGGTATTTTTCCAAAATAATAAACTGAAGGCTCTTGTTCCTGAACACTGAAAGATACCACAACACAGTCACCTGTTAAACACAGAGAAAACAAAACAGATAGTTCAGTGGTTTTTGTTTGTTTGTGTGTGTCATTAGAGTATTTGTTTATCTTATTTATAGGCAGGGTCTTGTATATCCTAGGGTGTCTTCAATCTATGAACCACACCTGATTTTAGATACTAGGAATGAACCCAGGGCTTCATGTGTGCCAGACAAAGCTTTCTACCAAATGAAGTACATTCTCATATGTCCACCGTGGATGTGGAGCCTGGCTGGTCCCTGTACTGGGATTTTGTTTTTATTTTAGACACAGGGTCTCACTATGAAGGCCTGTGTGCCTGGAACTCAACACAGAGACCAAGCTTGCCTCAAATGTACAGAGCTACACCTGTCTTTGCCTTTCATGTTGGGACTAAAGGTCTAAGCAACTATGCCTGGCTCTGCAGACCATTAATTATTAAAAGCCAGGAATGTCCATATTCTCTCTAAAGTTATGTCCAGAACATAACTTTATTTCACGCTGCACTCCTAAATAGTCATACATGGTGTATATATCAATAGATAAATATATATGCATTATTTATTTATTGAAATATGTGTGTGTGTGTGTGTGTGTGTGTGTGTGTGTGTGTGTAGCCCTGGCTATCCTGGAACTCGATTTACACACTAGGCTGGCTTTGAATTTAGAGATCCACCAGCTTCTGCTCCCCAAGTACTGGGATTAAAAGGCATGGGCCACTACTGCCCAGGGAGATGTATGTATGTATGTATGTATGTATATAATGTGTGTGTGTGTGTGTGTGTGTGTGTGTGTGTATTCTTAAGCATTGGTGATGTAAGATAACAAAATGGATTAGATTTTTTAATAACCTGTTTTACTGCTACTGACTCAAGGGCAACTTCACTAACACCCATAAAGAGCCTCTGAAGGAGCTAAATGGCATGAAACTAACCAAGCTGGATGACTGGGTATTTCCTGCTCAAGCAGGAACAGCTAGTTTTCCTGGTTCATTTCGGCAGCTACCCTACATTTCTTACTCTTTGTCTTAAAATCTTTGCATATATCTTTCACATGCCCCTGCAGCTCTATCCAAATCCAGTCTCATCAAGCGTTTATGAATTTCAATCAGTACATCTTGTCAGGAATGCAGAGTACAAGCACTAGGCAATGGGGAAGTCAGGATAGATGTCAGAGGTTTAGATTCAAGTCCTGACTCTGCCACTTACCAGCAGGTGGCCTTCACTTGGGTGGCTAAGTAAGTTGGTCACTTTCTTTCTCTCAAACACCCCATCCCACCCACAGGTTTTTTTGAGGCAATGTTTCACACTATTGCCTAGAACTCACTGTGTAACTCAGGCTGATGTTAAACTCACAGCAATGTGCCTGTCTCAGCTTCCCCAGAACTGTGATTACAGGTGTGTACTAGCATATGTAGCCTAAGAGCTCAGCTTTTTAAAAACACCAGGCAGCAGTGGTGCACTCGGGAGGCAGAGACAGGTGGATCTCTGTGAGTTTGAGGGCAGCCTGGTCTACAGAGAGCTAGATCCAGAACAGCCAACCGGAGCAGTTATACACAGAAACCCTGTCTCAAAAAAAAAAAAAAAAAAAAAAAAAAAAAAAAAAGAAAGAAAGAAAGGAAGGAAGGAAGGAAGGAAGGAAGGAAGAAAGGAAAAAGATAATATATCTTTGGACTTACAGTCCTGTGTGTATGTGTGGAAGGGGGATATTACATGAGTGAAGTACAATTATATATGTTTAAAAATGCTGTAACTAACCCCATTATTTTATGTAGAATACTAAGGTATGTGACCTTTGTTTATGCTGCATTTGTTTAACTCTGTGAAGCTGTGATACTGTGCTTGCCTAACACACCTGATGGTCCTAATGTTGATCTCAATGTCCAATAGTGAGGCAGGAGCAAGGATAGGCAGGGCTGGCAGGCACAGAGCATAATAGGAGAAACGAGGATCGAGATCAAGAGGAGAAGGAGGTAGGAGGACATCAGGGGTCAGCCACCCAGTCAGCCACAGAGTAAGAAGGAAAGTAAAATATACAGAAATAAGAAAGATAAAAGCCCAGAGGGAAAAGGTAGAAGGGTTAATTTACGATAGGAAAAGCTGGCTAGAAACAAACCAAGCCTAGGCAGGACATTTGAAAGTAGTAAGACTCCGTGTGTGAATTATTTGGGAGTTGGGTGGTGAGCCCTTCAAAAAGTCAAGAGTAAAAACAACAATAATTTTATATGCTAATGAATAACATTTTTAAAGAGAAAAAAAAGATTTGTTGTCAGGTATGTATAGAGAGAAGCCTTTCTTCTACCAATGACTTATCAGTAAGAAAGTAAGAAGCTACAGTGAAGCACAGGGAAATATGGTGAGATTCACTGTTTTATGTTTGCTGGTTTTTAAAGGAAAGAAGGGCTTATTTTGGCTTACAGTTAGTTCTAGGGGATGGTCCATCATGGCATAAGACAACAGCTGCAGGAGGTAGCTGGTCATATGGAGTCCACAGACAGGAAGCAGACAGAAATTAAATCTTTTTTTTTTTTTTTTTTTTTTTTTTAAGGTCAGGATCTAACTAGCCTCTATCTCACCATGTAGCAGAAGGTGACCTTGAACTCCTGTGACTTGTACCTACCAAGTGCACTACAACATCCAGCTCAAAGTTGCATGCTTTTCTAGAGTTAAAATATTTGGTTTATTGTATGTGTTTGAATGTAGACATGCACACATCAAGGCATACATGTAGAGGTCAAAGAATAACTTCTGGGAATTAGTTTTCTTCACTATAGGTTCTGGGGAGCAAATTCAGGGAAACAAGCTCATGCAGCAAACACTTGTGCCCATTGAGTCATCTCACCGGCCCCAAATCTCATTTTCAAATAACCAACTTAAACTGTGATATCTAATATTCAGAAGCAGCAAAAGCAAATAAACAGATAAGTAAATAATTAGTAGGGATTAATAAGTAATAATTAGTAGGAGATAGATCAGGGTAAGAGTGCTAGCAATATAAACATGAAGACCTGAATTCAAATCCTCAACATGTATGGCTTTATGAGTCTGCAACCCCAGCATTTGGGATTCAGAGACAGGCGGTTCCCAAGAGCTTGCAGGCTGACTAGTCTAACCAGACTGGTGAACTTCAGGTTCAGTGAGAGACCCTTCCCAACCCAATAAGGTGCAGAGTAATATAGGAGGTCACCTAGCATCTTTCTCTGACCTCCATAGCCACATGCCAGATTCGGGCACCACATACTTACATGTACTACACCCTCCACACACAATATGAACAAACAGCCAGGTGGTGGTGATGCATGCCTTTTAATCCTAGCACTCAGGAGGCAGAGGCAGGCAGATCTCTGTGAGTTCGAGGCCAGACTGGTCTACAGAGTGAGTTCCAGGACAGCCAGGGCTACACAGAGAACCCCTGTCTTGTAAAACAAACAAACCACAGCTATGCAGGAATATTAAGGTAACCCCTGAGCTAAATGCATGGGTACAGCCAATCAGGCAGCATTAGCCTGGTTAAGTCCATACAGTCTTGTCTTAAAGCTGAGAAAACAGAAGCTCAGAGAGACTCTTCCTACATCCCACCGCTGGCTGTGAGCAGCAGATCTGCCACAAACTGAAAACCTCCACAGTTACTTGGCTCTCCTGAGACTCTGAATATTACTGTGGAGCACATGTACACTTAGAGCAGCTCCATTCTTTTCTTTCCCAAGACAGGCTTTCTCTGTAGCTATGGAGCCTGTCCTGGAACTCGCTCTGTAGATCAGGCTGACCTCAAACTCACAGAGGTCTGCCTGCCTCTGCCTCCCAAGCATCAGGATTAAAGGTGTGTGCCACCACAGCCCAGCATCAGCAGCTTGACTCTTATCCTTAGTGATGAGTATGAACCAGAAAAGGTCATTCCCCATCAAACTTACTATTTGCCTTAGACCTACCTACCACTCAGGCAACACACAATCTGTTTATATATCAAGTCTTTATGAGATGTTTAACAGGGGGCTGTGGGGATTAAAAACATGAAAATCGCAAGTTCAAGGGATGCCGATCAGAAAGGTAGGCAGGAGCCAGGTCTGGTGGCATCAAGTGGTTGTCTAAGGATGGACTCTGGCAGATGGTGCTCAGTCCGCTCTGCTGCCTCAAGATTCAGAAGGCCAATCTCTAAGAAGCAAGACTCCAGGTGTTCTGGCTTCTGTCTGAGTCACTAGAAGAAATCTGAGAGCAGGAAGGTCAAGGCACTTATCCTGTGATCTCTCTCTTTTTAAAGATATGGTTCTAGCAGGATTTATGTTCTTTGACTGAGGTCACAACTCCCGTGGGGGGACTACTGAGGATCCTGTTCCTTGGCCATAGCTTTGGCTGGGTTCCAGTCACACCCACTTTCTCTCCATTGTCTCTGGAATGGGAGTATAACCAGGTACTGTCAGTCTTTGACAGGTTCTTGGTGCTCTACCATCCATTATTGGGCCACTTGGCCATTGCAATTGTAAATAATCCCTTTATTCAAGGGTTCTTATTAACCCTGAGTGTACTGCTTGTTTCCTGTAAGCAGCTAAGAACCACTGATTTCCTTTTTAAAGTTGGCACAAAGATGCAGGTGGAATAGATTTAGGAGACACTTGGTAAAAACAGTTATAATACCAAAAAACAAGGAAAGGCTGGGAAGGTGGCTCAGTAAAGTGCTTGCCACACAAGCATAGGGACCTGTGACTGGATCACTGGATCCCTGGTATTCCACAAAAAGCCAGGGCTTTTTAAAGGTGATGGATGGCACATGCCCATGAATAGATAAAGAAAGATCCTTTGGGCCTTCCTGGTTAGCTAATGGAGCTGAATCAGAAAGCT